CTTTAAATAACGAAATTAAGTTTAAATAAAATATTATAAATTATAATGTAATTAAATTAAACGAGGTTGGATTTTAATGAGTAATTTCTTAATTGTATTAAATATTAAGTGTTGTCCATGAAAGCTAGAGCCAGAAAGCTAGAAAGCTCAAAAATAAGGCTTCTGGCTTTATATATAAAATTATTGTAAATCTGTTGTGGCTTTCTGTAACTTCTAGAAAAAGTAGCATAAAAAAAATTACCAAACATAAATATATCTAAAAGCACTGTATGGCTATAAGAAAAAATGCTCAACCGCAATTCCAAATGCACCCTAAAATAAGCTACTTTCCGGTTTGAACTAACATAGCAATAGAACAACGTGCCGAGAAAATGATGCCCGTTTTAAGATCTAGAGCTAATGAGCCCACTCTTATATTAATCTTATATATCATTTTTACCCTAAGAACATGAAAACAAGAAACACACTCCACATTCCCATTGGGAAATCCTTCTCCACTTCCATGCCAACAATTGCATGTCAACCTTCTTTCTACTTCAAACGACACCATGCCTCCAACATGGTTCTACTAAAGCTTTCCAAATAGCATGTGAACTACAGCAAGCACACCCATAAGATATTCACCCTGATCAAAATCCAAAAAGCAAGATCATGCTTTTCAACATTTCTGTGGTACACTGTACACATTACCAACCTGAGATGGACCTACCAAGGGCTTAGTCCAATTCCTTGCATTAGCTATGGTGCAGAATCATAGCTGGTATTAGTTCCCCAAAAAAAACAAAAAAAGGTGCTTCCCTTAGCTCCCTCTAAATATAATCAATGGTTGAACTTTATTGAACTTTCTCCAAAAAAAAAAAAAATCACTTTCTCCATTTTAAATTTGGCAATAGTGAGAAATGAGTAAACAATACCTCTGATGATACCGCACGTGTTCCTCTGTAGGATGTCCAACATGAATCACTTTGTAATATGGGATCTTAGCTTGACGTGCATACCTATCAACCAAGGGAAGTAAATTAGTTGCAGTCCACAAAAATTGTAATAATCCTGTCCTTCACTGATTAGAACAACAGTGGCAAGCCAACTTTGAGATGCTTTCTATAGTAGGTTTTCAACATGCTTTATTACGTGGCAAATCTAGGACTCTGGGAAGTAGAGTAGTAGACTGCAATTAAACTCAAATAACCTAGGCCAACATTTGTATGTACATTTGCATTAGAGAGGAAAGAGCCTGTTAACCACAGTTGAAGCTTGAGAATCCGAGAAGAATCAAGCAGGCTTATTTCTGTGTGTTGTAGGTGATCCTTGTCTAATTCTATAACAGGATGTTTGGGAATGTAATTTTCGTAGAGTGTATTTGAATTTGAGCCTTCCAAATTCAATATCACTATTTGTTTTCACAAAATAAGTATGTAATTGAATTTATCCCAAATACATGTAATTGGGTTCATGTATTTCATTGCTTTAAATTTGTGTATTTGAAATACCCACACAACCTCATGCATTTCAAATTTAGATCCATGTATTTCAACTCTCTCCTCTTCCTAGAAAAATTTTGACAGAGATTGATGGTGGATGATTTCCATCAGAAGAAGGTGCCAAATGACCAATCTCTGCTATAGAGATGGAAAACAATTTATCATCAATCCTCCATTGTTCACTCCAAAGATCTTGTTTTCTTGTCTCTTTCTATACTTCAGAGGAATCCCCTTAATTTCACAAAAATCTTGATTCATATTGAAATATTACAAATCTTCTCCCAGAAAAATAGATTTTGTTTTTTGGTTTCCTTTTCCCTGGGTTCATATTGGGTAAGTCTTGTTTGTTTATATGAAATATACTCTTCTCCAAATAATTTGACCGATAGAATTTTCCTTGAGATTTATATTTGTTCTTTTGGTGGGTAATGCTAGAGGTACTAGTGATTTTCTACTTCCTGTTTATTAGCAGATTGGATGAAAGCTTTACGGCTTCGGCATGTTAGTGAAAGTTGCAAAGGCATTGTCTTGAAAGTGTTTGTAAAAATGCCTCAATCAGCAAATTTAATATCAAATTCATTGTTGTTATTTTAATCCAAATAGTGAATTTGGAAATACATGTATTATAATACATCCCTCAAATACAAATTCAAGTTCCCAAACATATCCTAATAGAGTTTTGAGATGAACTTGATTTTTCTTTTTTTGCCATAAAGATGATGATCTTGATTGAGTTAAAGCAATTTAGAGATATATAAATAAGCATAAAGACCAAATTCAACATGAAATTGAAATATGATAACATGCAGATGCTAATTTTATATTCTACATGTGATAGCTGGACATGCATGCCAGATTTTCTGGTACATGGCAACATGTTATGCTATGCTTATAGTATTGAGATACTAAACCATGCTTATGAACTGATGCAACTCTTTTCTGATCTTATCTGGTGCCTATATTCTAATGGCACAAGTTTATAGCTACCTCTTTTACTATATCTTTGACAATTTGACCTAAACTGTAGTTTTCTAAATTTAATTGCACTGTTTCCAAAATCTTCTATGTAGTATAGAAGCCATGTTTTCCCAAATGCATGTATGCTGTTCACTACAAAAAGGGTTTCTAAGTTAGTCATGGTTAAAACCTGGCCAAGGGAGGGTTATGGCAAAACTCTGGCCACTCTGGCCAAGGGAAGGTTATGGCAAAACTATCATAGCTAATAAATTGTTAAAAGATAAACAAAAAGAGGAAAAAGCCACTAACCTCTCTTGGGTGGATCGGAGGTAAGGTTCCAGATATTTCACCTCCAACTTCATCCAAATAATCCTCTCACTCAAATACTTTATTTGATACTTCAAGTCATTCTCATCCTGAAACTCGTCCTCATCCCTATCTTCCTCATCCTGAAACTCGTCCTCATCCCTATCATTCTCATCCTCAAACTCGTCCTCATCCCTATCATCCGCATCCTCAAACTCATCCTCATCGTCAAACTCATTTTCGTCTACTTTCTCATCCTCAGTATCATCATCAGCATCATCATTCGGATCATCTAAATATGGAAGACTACCAGTTAACAGAGATAAATTAGTTCACGATCAACAAATGCATATGCACATTAGAAATCTCAAAGTTTGACAGAAAATAAACAAAAAAAAAAAGGGAAAAAAGTACAAATTGGAATTTCAATATTTCATACCTTCTGCTCTCTGTGTTCGTGATTGTGCACAGGATTGTGTTTTTTTTAATGGGATCTGTTTGCCATTCACTAACCAAGAGAAATATATTAGTTGACAGTCAATAGATAAATTTTCAGAAATCAAATGAATTATTAAAAATAAACAACATAAAAAAAAAAAAGGAAATTGGCACTAACGATGGCAGCCCATTGAAATATAGTTTGTCTCGTAATGAATGGCGCCATGATTCCATTTTGAGTTCTTTGAACCCTTCCTCGATTTCTTCCACCTTCTTCCTCCACCCCTCAGCCTCCTCCAGTAGATGCTTGTAGACTTTCCTCAACTTCACGTCCCTCAACAGCTGTTCCGACTTCACCCTGCGAAGGCCATCAGTCTTAAATATCATCGCTTTACAGTAGGTTTTAGCTTCCGTCGAACCGGAAAGTTCCAAACGATGAATTAGAAGGAATATCTCTTTCGCCGGCGCCCGTGGAACAATATCCATCTTTGATTTCACTTGAAAAGTGCAATTCTTTGGGGTTAGGGTTCCAGACGATTAGGCATGGAAAAGGGCAAGATAACTTGAAATTTTGTTTTTGCCCTAATGGTTTTCTTCAGCTCAAGGTTTTGGTCTTTTCGTCTTTTTGTCTAATTCACTTTTGCCTTTTTAGCCCGTTGAAAAAAAATAAAATAAAATAAAGCAAAACGCAAAAAACAAATGAATAGTCAGAGAATAATAACCTTTATGCCTTGGGTAATTTACACGAAAAGACAAAAAAACCCGGTAAAAGTAACACCGTAAAAGGGTATTTTTGGACATTTACATGACTTGCTTTTTATATTCCTGCTAGATTTTCTACCGTGACTTAGCGTCTGCAGTATCCCACCCTATTTGATTATATTTTAAAGGTTAAAACTTTAATTTAGTACTTTTTACTTTGGTGAAAAGACTTTTTTAATTCATCTATTTAAAACATTTTTTTTTAATCTTTAAATTTTGAAACTTGGTCCCTTTTTAATGTTTAAATGTTAGTGACTGAAATTTCAAAGAACAGGAACAGAAAAGGAATTTTTCTTCCCAAAGTAAAGATACCAAATTAGGGTTATTTTTAGTCCCTTTTTAACTTTTTTTAGTCTTTTTATTTTAAAATTTTTGTTATATACTGTGTCACGTATGTAAAATTTTATGAAAAGACTAAAAAAGAGTCAAATTTTGAATTTTAGAAATCAAAAAAAGATTTTTCTAAGTAAAAGGATTAAAAAAAAGTTTTTTACCAAAGTAAGGGACCAAAATGGGAATTTAACGTATTTTAAATAACAAACTTTAGTTACTGAAAATGATTCCACCAAAAATGGTATTGGGCTTGGTAAGTATAGTTTATGGTTTTGGTAGCTGTAATTGAATTTAAAATGATATTTGCTTGGTTAAATATAATTCTGGATTGAAACTAGTGCAAGAAATATGCTTAATTAAAAAGAATACTTAACCTGCAATTAAACATATGAATTAGGACATGATTAGTTGTTGCGTCCGAAGCATGGATTAGGCTTACAAATATAGTGGAGATTCAGGTGTGTTAGCTATCAATCTTTTCATCATCATTATTTGAAAATATACGTGCTTAATTTGTTGTTTTTTCATCATTTTCCCTGTCCTTTCTTCAATTTTTCTACTGTCTTAGTGTGAAATCTTTCTTAATTTTCTATTTATCAGCAAAGGAAGGCTTGGATCTGCTTAAGTATTACTTGTTTAATGAAATCAGCTAACCTTAACTAGTAATTCCCTTATATTGTCTCTGTCACAAGGAAGAATTAATGGCAAAGGGAGGAAAGCAGAGAAGGACTGGAACCAATGAAGCAGAAAACAGACGAGGACCAGGACGTCTGCCAGGGCCGCCACTGTCTGAAGAAGAAGGGAAGAAAAAGGAGGAGAAAAATAGAAGGGATAGAGAGCATCGGGCCAAAAAGACGGTAAAAAAATTAATGTCCTGTTGTTTTCACTTTTCATATGCTCTGTCCTAAGGTTAAAATATTATTTTGGTCCCTCAATTTATTATTTTAATATTAAAATTATCTTTTAATTTTAAAAAGTATTAAAATTATCTTTAAATTTTTATTTTCGGTACCAAAACAATCATTTTGTTAGTTAAATGACAAATGTCACGTTGACTTGTTAGTAAATCAATTCTTTTTTTGCTTAACTAATGACATGAAAAAAAAAAAAACCATAGTAGGCCTCTGAGTTGGCATTAGTTAGCATTTTTATTAAATTTTAAAATAATAATTTTTTTTCATCCACGTCATCTCTTCCTCCTCTTTCACTTTCTCTCTTCTTTACCTTTCCTTTTCCCTTACCTCTACAAACCAGAGCTGGGTTCTCTCTCAAACTTCATCTTCTTCCTCCTTTCCTCCTCCTTCCTCCTCCTTCTTCTTTCTTCTTCTTATTCTTTCTTTCTCTCTCTTCTCCCTTCTTCTTTTTCTCTCAAACCCAGATATGGCATTTTAGCAACCTCACTCACCTCGTCCATCTTGGACACGCTCGTGGCACTGCTACTCCCTCGTGTTCAAGGTGAAGAAACTGGGTTTGTGAAGAAACTGGGTTTTCACAAACAAGTAGCTTTCAAAACCACATTTTACCACCTAAACATGAATCACCTTTCCCTTGTTAAAGGCCACCAAATTAGCGCAGACAGACAACATCACAACAAGTGCTTCAGCACTGACCCTTATTCCTCCCATCCTCATTGAATCAAACAACTTCAAAGCTTCTTGATTCCGCCCACATCGAGCATGACTTGACAACAACGATGTCCATGTCACATCATCTGGCTCCAAACCTTCCAACTCCATCGGCTCAAGCATCTCAAAAACACCATCACAATCATAATTCAATGCAAAACCCAAAATCATCATATTCCAAGAAATTTTGTTTCTTTCACACATTTTATCAAACAGATGGCGTGCAACATCCATTTTGCCCAGCTATGTGTACATCCCCAGCAATTCATTAACAACATGACCACAATTCTGATTTCCAGTTTGTAACACATGATTATGAATATTCTTTCCCACATAAGAACTACCCAGAAACGCACAAGCCCTTATAACCAAAGGGAAAGTGAAGGCATCACCAAAAATACCCTATTTACGCATCTTGACATAAATTTTAAGGGCAGTTGCATAGTAACCATGAGAGACATTAGCTCTCAAAATTGAATTCCACAAAAGCAAGTTTGAGGTATGCTCAAATGGGCTCGTGTCGAACAACTTCTGGGCATAAAAAACAAGCCCGAAATGAGCATAGATCAACACAATTCAGGTAGCCAAGAATTTCGACCAATACGCACCGCCAATGAGGATCTGATTATGAACTTGTTTGCATTGACGGGCTGTTGAGCATTGCTGAAGAAGGTGATCAAATGAATCGAGAGTTGCATTGTTGGGAGCAGAGAAGTAAGATTTAATACTGAAAAAGGTTTCATGATGGTAGTAGAGTATAGGGATTGAAAGGCTAAGATTTGACGAGAAGGGGAAGGGAACTACATTGAAACGCGAAGAGATTGAGACAAGTCACAGAGGAGAAGCAATAGCAGCAGTAGTAGCAGAGCCACGAGCGCGTCCAAGATGGACGAGGTGAGCTAGGTTGCTGAAATGCCAGATCTGGGTTTGAGAAAAACCCAGATCTGGGTTTGAGAGAAGAAGAAGAAGGGAGAAGAGAGAGAAATAAAGAATAAGAAGAAGAAAGAAGAAGGATGAGGAGGGAGGAGGAAAGGAGGAAAAAGATGAAGTTTGAGAGAGAACCCAGATCTGGTTTGCAGAGGTAAGGGAAAAGGAAAGCTAAAGGGAAGGTAAAGGAGAGAGAAAGTGAAAGAGGAAGGAGAGATGACGTGGATACAAAAAATATTATTTTAAAATTCAATAAAAATGCTAACTAATGCCAACTCATACGCAAACTATGGTTTTTTTTTTTCATGTCATTAGTTAAGTAAAAAAAGAATTGATTTGCCAGCAACAGCAAGTTAATGTGACATCTGTCATTTAATTGATGGAAGGATGATTTTGGTATCGAAAATGAAAATACTTTTTAAAATTGAGGGATAATTTTGGTATTAAAATAAAAAATTGAGGGACCAAAATGGTACTAACCACTAATTAATTGTAGAGTAGTATATGAGAATGTCCAAGTCATGACAGTTAGCATAAGCTTATATGAATATACAAGATCATAACACTTACCTACATACATACAAGATCATGCATAACACAATTTGTCTATATCATGAATCATCATTAGAAGCATATCCATATACATGCGTGTCATTCAACTTACTTTCAATTTCGCTTATAAGTCAGTCTTTGGCTGATGACTATAAAAGAAGTGGTGTGGGAGCTACTTTAAGGATGGTAGTATGGTTTTTCTATACCGTTAGCATATGATGTGAGGATGTATATATGGAATATGTGGTTGGTGTTTGGCTATGGTGCTGGCTTGTGTGGAATCTCCATACTCAAACCACAATAGAGTTTCAAAAGTATTGCTTGTTTAATGAAATCAACTAACTCTAATTAGTGAATTTCCTTCTATTGTCGCTGTCACAAGGAAGAATTCATGGCAAAGGGAGGAAAGCAGAAAAGGACTGGAGCTAATGAAACAACAAACAGATAAGGACCAGGTGGTTCGCCAGGGCCACCACTGTTTGAAGAAGAAGAGAAGAAAAAGGGGGAGGGGGAAAATAGAAGGGATAAAGAGTACCCGGCCAAAAAGACGGAAAATAAATTAATGTCCTGTTGTTTTCACTTTTCATATGCACTGCACTAATTAATTGTAGAGTGGTAAATAAGAATGTTTCTAGTCATAACAGTTGAACTTTTCTTTTATTCAGAAGAACAGAACTTCTACCGATAAATTTTGGTAGTTGAACATGACTGACACAAAGTTCTCACCTATTTCTTTCCAATGCCGATAAGTTAGTGTCTTCATTGTTGCCCGAGTCAGGGACCTCAAGTGTCTCCTTAGGAGGTAGGTGATTTCATTTTTTTTTGGTCAAAAACTTGGTTGATCAATTTGCAAATTTGCACACTTCAGCTAATTTTCCTTTAAAATACATTCTGGGTGGGCTTCTTTTCAAACAGGGGGGAAGCAGCCTAGAACATGCCACAGCTTTATCATTCCTTCTACTGGTCTAAGGGCGCACTTTGGGTCAAGCTAGGAGACGAGTCCATTGGGGGAGACGATCGTTACTCCTAAAAGGTGATGCGGACAGGTTAGGGGGTATGGTGGGCTTGGGGATTTAGAGGCTGTTAGGCCAATATATACTGTGAATAGCATTCGTGAACAGTAAAATAGGGTCCGTTTAGGATAGAAAAGAGGAAGAAATAGAAAATAAACAATGAGAAGGATAGAAAAAACTAGGAGTCATTCCTAAGTTTCTTTAGGCATCACATCTAAAGAGGATAAAACCCTTAAGCATCACATCTAAGGCTAGTTGCATTACACAACCAAGATTGCATCACTAAATCAAGAGCAAAACTTGCTGGAAAATTCTGAATATTATTAACTTCATAATGAAAGAAATTACATGCATATTTATATAGAAACTACTAAAATTCCTATTAGAACTCCTATTCTAATTAGTCTATAACTTGAAATTTAAAATTTCTAATTTAACTAGGACTTAAGACTCTTGATAAAAGACCTAATCCTAATAAAAGTAGAAAAACTAATGATAACTACACTTGAATAAAAATAATTACTTGAGAATTCTAAATAATCTAAATGACTATTGAATAGCTTCTTCTTGTTCCTCATCAAAAGGCCTACAGAGTTCGCAAGAAGCCAGGTAATTGGAACCTGCACATGATATAATATACAACTATCATTCCCGCAATCTACAATGGAACCTGACCTGATTTAGGCATTTCATCAATACAAGTGGATTACATTCTGGGAAACAATCCGTTAGGAATGCCCATTGCAAACACTCTCATTTTGCATTAGGTTCGTGTTTAAGGTGAACCCAACCTCTAGTCTAGAATCCTTCCAGATCTTGCACGAAAGAGCAATTCTTCTTGTCCTAAGGAGTAAGGTCAATTCCTATTAGGTTGTTTTCATTTTGTTAATACAATGGCTGACAATGTAATATTGTTTTGTGCTTTAGCATTTAGAAATATCTCCCATTGGATTTGAAAAGATAAATGGTTGAGAAGGCCTAACATCCTTTAAGAAAGCATAAGGGGGCATTTTGCTTTACTAACCTTCTTCCTGCACATGCCAAATTCGGGTTTTTATTCTTTCATTTGACACCACCAAGGTAAAGACATATTGGTTGTAAATTTTGGAGAAGATACTATAGTAGCTTGTGATTGTTCATCATGTGCTTTTCGCAATACTACATTCTCGTATCATTTGCATTATTGCATCCATGTCTTCACCTTTTATATTCCTTTTACAAACTTCATGGCAATTTTTTTTTTAATGTTTTCATCAAAAGGACTCCAACTTTTGTTTTCCACAAGTAGATCTTCTAAATTTCAGTTTTTACCAAATTAAATCTTCTACTATTTTTGTGTTCACCAAATAAAATCTTCAATTTTACTAAAAATTGTGTGCCTTAATTTTCATCTTAAGTCATCTCACTCTCATTTTTTCAACCTCGGTCTTTAGTGCTCATTTTCATCAAACAAAACCATTGTTTTTTGATTTCGTCAAATCACTCTAATTTTTGCTTTCACCAATCCCTTCCTTTTCATTAAGTTATTTTCCGGATCATGAGGCTCTTGTTGCTTAGATTTGCATATGATTAGTGATGAGAAAGTTGGCGCTTCAATCTTCTCCATTTTGATGAGATTTTCTAAATGAATGAGATATGGTAGGTCTTCTCTATTTTTATCATTGAATAAATTTGTCTTCCCCTCACTAATTTTGGCATCTGATTGTGAAGGGGTAGCTAGGCAAGTTGTCCATTTTAATCTTCATGTTTTCAGCATTTCAATTTAAATTAATAAATATTTTTCCAATCCCTTTATTCAGTTTTATTCAATAAATATTTTATGTTTTGCAAGCTTTGATTCTTTTTCACTCTTGAATCAATGCTTTCATAAATCATTCTATCCTTTGAGTTTAAAAACAATTTTGATGCCCCAATGCTTGAAATAATGATGTCATATTGAGAGTGATTTCAATAATATGAAATTTTTGCCTTGATATTATTGATATTTAGATGAGTTTTATTAAACAAAATATAACTAATTAGAATAGAAAGTTAAAGAGTATTAAGAGTGAAAAAATAGAATAGGTTGCAAGTAACAAATTTAAATTAAATTTTATTTAGTGCAAGTAGAACTTGATGAGTTGACTTTTTATATATACATTAATGTGAAATTTTTACCTTGATATTATTGATATTTAAATGAGTTTTATGAAATTTTACTTGATTCTATATAATTTTCATTCTTTGTACAGGGAAAGACTTAATTGGAAGAAATCATAATTTTTATGAGCAAATTGCAGAGATCAAAAAGCTGAAGATTAAGTTGTGTGAAGTTCAGAAGTTAGGGACCAGAACTGTCATTTTACCAATTACAAAAATTGTTTAGAAAGCCAACTTATTGAGGGTGTCGACACCTATTTGAAAGTGTTGATTCCTTATGCGATTTTTAGGAAATTCATGCCTAACTTATTACTTTGACGTGCGTCCAACTTCTATTTCAATTAAGTTTTTTAAAATTTTATAAATACTTGCTCAAGTCTAAAATTAAGGGGAGAGCTTAATTTAAAGACTGGTGCCAGCACTTTGTTTCGGACACTCTTAGAAATCAAAATATAGATGACGTATCAATAATAAAAAATTAAAGAGTTTAATTTTTTTAAATTGAATATTGTTTTCCCTTTAATTCTTTTTATCTATTATTTGATATTCAAATATTCATAACTTTAATTTCAGATTTTATCATTTTTATTATGAACTAATTAATCCTATAGGAATCTGATGTAGCCTAATCAATTTATTTTAGATTTTGTGATTTTTATAGTTTTAACTAAAATTATTCACGTTATAAAATTATATATTGAATTTAATGCTTTGAAAGTCTAACCATCAAAATTGCATAAATTAAATCAATAATAATATAAACTGTATGTTAGATCAAAAAGTAATTAGCATAACATTTGACATTGAAAGAAGAGAAAGAAGTTAAGAACTCCTTTCTCTTAGAAAACTTATCACCGATGCAATAACATTTAACATTCAATAACATTTAACAAATTAATTTCAAAAGTATAATAATTTAAAATCTATATTGTTTGATAATAGTGAAATCGATACATTAATACCTCATATTTTAATCAATTTTATTTTAATTATTATTTTTATTATTATTTTAATTAAAATTTATTCTTTTTAATTGTTCAAATAAATTTAATTAAATATTTTGAATACTTGATTAATCACAATTTTTATAAATTCAACACTACTTTAAAGTGACTAAGACACTTACTAAAATAATTTTAAGCATCATAGCTAAATTCTGTTTTGAAATTAAAATTCAAAGAGTCTTATAATGTGAGAAACGGACTACTTCAATCTATACCATACAAATGATATCAAGTTTCTTAATTAAGGTACCTAGGCTAAATAATTCTGAATACTACAAGTTTACCAACAAGAAATAGAATTGAAAGATAAGGAGAGACAAAGAGGAAATACATAGAATTAAGCTTCCCGTTTTTGCCCTAATTGGAGTCAAAATTCCAATTTAAACCCTTAATGCTTCTACACTTTTCTGTCATTTTATGCCATTTTAAATAAGCATCGTTTCAACGTCAGAACACTTACGCTTCACTTCACTTCAATTGCTTTGGGACCGCTTCTAAGTAGAGCGCTTCAGAAATTTTGAAGCAGTGGTGCCTCTGATCGCTTTGCGTCGTCGCTTTAAGCTTCGTTGCTTTAAGCTTTGTCGCTTTAAGTGGTGAAACGAACGCTTTCGACAATACTCATATCCCAACATTTCAAGGAAGTCTGCGTGCAATTGTTCACCCTGCAACCCCCTTGCGTATTTGTTACATGTCTGGGAGAGTTTCGAGAGAATATTGAAATTCTCCTCAAACTGCTCCAAGACAAACTCCTGAGTCCGTCGATGTCCAAACTACAAAAAATTTAAGTGGCATATAAAGAACAATTAGGAGCAAAATAAAATACATACAGATCTGCATTTCATGGCAATAAAACACCATATTGAGAAACCAACTCTTACCATTTCAGTAACATGACACTTGCAATTGCGAAATAGTCGCAACAACTGTGCATTGTCATTGTATTTTGGATTCCAATGCACGGATGCTCCTTGGCGTGACCGGTGTGACCGGCGTGACTGGCCTACCAAAGTGATTACCAGTGAGCCTGCCCGCTTTAATATCTTCTTCAAAGGATGATGGTCAGGAAGGCTGTCAAAATCCTCAAACCATGGCCACCAATGATGCTTGTTTATTTTATCGAGTCTTGATTCCATGTCAAAGAAATACATAAATGCTACATCTAGATGCTTGAACTTCTTCTCAATGCTCCACAAAAAAGATGGATCAAAAACAATATCCACAACGTGCCTGCAAACGAAAAAACTCAGCAAAATAATCACATAAAAAGTAATAAAATCAGACAAAAAAGAATCTAAATGGTACTTTTGCTCATCAAAGGTAGCCAATAGCTGAAGAAAATCAATCAAATAACATGGCACATCATTGTTGAACTTAACATAATCCTCTGATTTGTAAACCCTCCATAGGTCCTCTAGTGGCTTCCTGTTAACAATCACAAACAAAAAGTACCTGATAGTTTTTAAATCTTCTCTATATGAACCACAGCGACCGCCTAATTTTTTTGGATCAAAACCTACATAAATTTATCCAGATCAGTGTATATCTCCACAAAAAAAAAAACTAGCAAATCTACAAAAAGAACTAATAATGAATTTACCTTTTCGAATCAAAAGTTGTGGCTCAAAATCAGTTGTGAAATAGATATAATGCATAAGATCTCCATGGCAGATTTCATTTTCGATGGCACACTTCAGCCACTTTGTGCACAACCTAAATTCAATTATTGTTTAAGTAACAAAAAAAACCAGAACTAATTATCTGATATAAAAGCCTTTCAAACCTCAGAAGAGGATACAAACGAAGCTTGAGAAAAGGGAACCAATCTTCTACCTCTGGAAATGTGAGTAAATCATGATACCATTCCTCAAATGTGAAGAGAATAGGTTGTTGGACAATCAATACAGATTTCTCCTCATTGAAGTATTTCCATGGAAGCGCAAATTCTCCCATCGAAGATAACAGCCACTCTTGTGCTAAAACAGTGACCTTATCGACGTGCTTCAGCTTGGTAACCAGACAACTAATCTCCTCATAAGGATCAGTACATGGTATCATACGGCCCTTGATAAAATAGGTAGGCTCAAAACTGGCGTTAACACAAACAAAAATCCAGTCTAAGAAATCATGACACAAAGAATTCATTCTTTAATGTTATATTACAGCTGTACAAATTTAGAACCTCTAGATAAACCCCTAAGAGTCCAAACAGAAAAAGACACAAGAAATCATACAGGCAAACCACAATGTGCAGAAAAACTTAAACATGGATTACCGTATAGGCTGCAAATCTTGAACAACCTCCTCTTGTTCAGAAGATTCCAAAGATTCCAACAGTTTCTTAAGGGTTTCACCAGCTTTCTGGAGCCTAACCATTTGGAGTTCAATATCAGAGTTCTCGCTCAATTTTTTCAATTGTTGTTTACATTCTTCGACTTTTCTATTAATCAACTTGCAAACTACATCTATATCCATGTCTTCCATGTTGGAGCAGGAACTACATTGACACAAATAAGTCAAGACTTGAGAATATAAAAACAAAAATCCAATCTAAGAAATCATGACACAAAGAATTCATTCTTTAATGTTATATTATAATGTGCAGAAAAACTTAAACATGGATTACCATATACCAAGGATTTCAGCAGCTTTCTGGAGCCTGGCCATTTGGAGTTTGATATCAGAGTTCTCGCTCAATTTTTTCAATTGTTGTTTACATTCTTCAACTTTTTTATTAATCAACTCTTTCAATTGATGTTTACATTCTTCGACTTTTTCATTAATCAACTCGCAAACTTCATCTATGTCCACCATTTCTTCCATGTTGGAGCAAGAAGTCAAGACTTGAGAAGATAAAAACAGTTAGATCAAACTCAACTAGTGAACAAATTTACAACAAACAATGGTTGCAATTGGACTGTCCTCCTCTAAAATGCAAATATTAGCCACAAAGAAAGGAAAGAAAAAAAACAATTTGATCAAACCTGATTTAATTGGTTTCTACCATTCTCCACAAAATAATATTTATCATGATAATTGGTCTATGGAGATAAAGATCAAATAGTTTGAAAACTAAGGAAAATAAGAGGGGAGAGTTTCTCCTTTTCTACTAAACTTCGGCATGATTGAGAGTTTAGATATCAATCTTTCCTAATCCTAAATCAACTAATATCAACGTCAGTACGGGAAGAAAACAAAAGAGCTGAGCAATTATACAAAATTTTACGGTAGACTCCTTTTAGTGCTCATATTCAGACACAAAATAAAGCCACCATTCAAAACAAAGTCAACACTAGTCCATCAAATCACTATTGGCTTGATAAAGATAGAAAGAAGGGTTCATTTGACACAGGCAATAAATTCCGAGGAATGCGTGCTTCCAATTCCAAATCCAACAAACAATTATGGCATAATAGATAACAAATCTAACAATTTACTGAGTATCATTTATCTCTCAACAATCTCATACAAATTCAAACACAAATCATCAACGCATCACAGAACATTAAAGAGAAAAAGGAAAACCTAAGCGGAAATTTCAGGAAAAAGGGTAAATTCGGAAGAAAGTATCACCCTCACTATCTCCCAAAACCCCTGTTTCAGAAAATTACCTAAAGCAAGAGCAATCAGAAGCCACCAGCAGATCCCGTTTCCCTCCGGTTTTCACATCCCAGCGGCCCTTCTTCACCGAGGCAAAACTTCGGCAAAAACACCGATCACCCAGAAGATTCCCCCGGGAAGCGTCCGAACAGCTATCCAGACCACCAAATTGGTAGAACCCAATAAAAGAAAACCAAATCTTCCCTTCTTTTCTTTTGTGGCCGCTCCTTTCCCTGTTTTTAGTCTTCCTTCAAGCCCTCCTTCTGCGAAGCTTCCTCTTCTTTACTGGATGTCAGGCCATCAGTTCAAGAACGGAGCTAACAGAGCATGAGGAACGGATGAGCAAAGAATGGGACCCGAGAGAAGGAGCAGAACCGATTCCCGAAAAGAAGCCCTCCATTTTTTCTATTGTGGCTGTTTGGTGATTGATGATGGTGATGAGAATGATAATCGGCAAAGA